TTTCAATTCACTGACATTTTTTGGAGCAGGTAAATTTACTATGGCTCCTACTTTATCTTCTACAGGTCTCAGCCCTTCTGCATTCACTTTGTAGCCAAGATAAGTTACTTCTTTAGCTAGGAATGAACATTTGCTCTTGTTGAGCCTGATATTGTGTGCCAACAATCTTTCGAATACTGTGGCTAGGGTTTTGACATGATTTTGGATGTCACTGTCAACAATAAGGACATCATCCTGAAAACATAACACATTGGGAAGACCCACAAGAATTTTGTCCATGATGCACTGAAATAACTTTGGTGCACTTTTAACACCATAAGGCAACCTTTTGAACCTATACAATCCTTTATGAGTGTTGATGGAAAGGTAATGTGTTGACTTTCAGCATCAACAGAGACCTGAGCATATGCTTGGGACAAGTCTAACTCAGTGAAAATGGTTCCACCTGTTAGTGCAGCAAACAAATCTTGAGATGTGGGCAAGGGATATTGCTCATCCTCAACAGCTTGATTAATGGTAACTTTATAATCACCACATAGTCTAACAGATTTATCAGCTTTAGGTACAATTACTATTGGAGCAGCCCAATTGCTCTTGGTAGTTTTCACAATAATTCTCTCACTCACAAGTCTGTCTAATTCCTTCTCAACCTCACCTTTCAATGCATAAGGAACAGGTCTGGACTTAGCATGTATGGGTGTAACATCATTGTCAATGGTGATATGAGCTTCATAACCCTTTATACCATCTTGTCCCTTTACAAATAAAATCTTGTATTTTTCAAGCAATTTCTCAAGACCTGGAATACTGTTACACATTCTAACACTAAATATCTCCTTCCAGTCCATCTCAAGTTCACACAACCAGTTCTTACCTAACAAAGTTGGTCTATTCACATAACTAGCTATAATTAATGGCAACTTTAAATTCTGATTTTTGTACTTTACCTCACACTCTAATTTACCTTCTGTGTTCCAAATCTCCCCAGTAGAAGTTCTCAACTTGACTCCTGAGTCTTCTAAAGGCACATGTGCAAATAATTTCTCATACATATCTTTACTCATTATGGAGAAATCAGCTGCAGTATCCATTTCCATGGTTACAGGTGTGTCATTAATACACAAGTCCACATTATACCTATGTTTAACTTTCTCTTCACGACTGGTGTAAATAGTAAACACATGGGCACTCTCATCATTATCAGTTCCAAAATTATTAACACTCTCATGAATACTGTTTTTCATTTCCTTCTCTCCACCTTCAATGACATACTCTACCTTTATCACTTCTACAGGCAGGAGCAATATGTCCAATACGTTGACAATTGTAACATTTTGAATTCTTTAACTTACACTGAAAGCTTTCATGTTTCCCTCGGCACCTCTTACATTTTAAATCAGCATGTGTTCCTTGTTTTGTGGTATACTTATTCCTTTTAGCTACAGTTACTTTACACACTGAGCCACTACTGCTAACTGTTTCACTACCAGCATTGGGAACAAATTCTCTGGTGTTTTTCTCGGCCAATTCCATGCTTGTAGCTATCTGACATGCACTTTCAAAAGTTAAGTTAGTGGTGTTCATTAACTTATTCTGTATTTTTTCATAATTCAGGCCTATCACAAACCTGTCTCTTAGAGTTCGGTTCAAGAACTGTCCAAAGTTACAGTGAATGGATAACTTCTTCAAAGCTACTATATAATTACTTACTGATTCATCTTTACCTCTATCTCTTGTGCCAAATCTATAACTTTCAGCGATCTCAAGTGGAGCAGGATCAAAATATTGCTTCAGAATCTTGGTACTCTGAATCAGTGAGGAGTCCCTGGGTTTGTCTGGAGTAAGCAGATTGACCAGAGTAGAATAAACATTAGCTCCTACCTCTGTCAAAAAGATTGCTTTCCTTTTCTCTTGAACGGCATTCTTCTTCTGAGCATCACCACCGTCGTCCATTAATTCATTTGCCAGAAAGAAGAAGTCCATTCTCTCACAATATGATGTGAAATCTTCCTTGTCTGCATCATACTCCCCCACTCGTCCGATGTATCCACTGACGCCAGCCATGGTTGCTCTCTTCACTTAAATTCTCCAGGTTCAGAGTAGCCTTCCCTTCAGTGGTCACTATCCTCTCTTCAAGGACTTCACCAACACTTTGTGAATCCCATCCTCGTTGCCAGTGTAGTATCTTGCGTTATTTAATGGGAGAATGACAAGCACATGGTCAGTCTGGCTGGGCGTTTATTCTCTGTTCTTGGTTACAACGTGCCTAACACATTTCGTGTTAACACAAGCCTAAACACTTTCTGACTTTGGTAAGAAGTAACATAATATATAATATATATATTCAATAAAGGCAGCATATAAACATACATATATATAACACCTGCCAGGGCCCAGCCTAGGCTCTTATGTTTTAAAAGCTTTTTGGCTAAGAAAATTTTTCACTGTACAGTAGAACGTCGATATAACACGATATGCATTCCAAGGGAGGTTGCTTTAAACTGAATTCGCACTAAATCGAAGTTTTGTTTCAATGGAATAATTTAGTTTGGTACTTAAGAGAAACACAAAATACTAAAAAGACTGACAGTCTACCCAGATGCACCTCAGCCCATCTCCTAGAATAAACAAAACATTGTTTTTTGTAGTATTATGTTAAAACAAACACTCATAAATCAGCACAGCTAAATTTAAGGGATGCGAAATGGTCTGTTTACTGGCTGGGAAGATGGGGGGTTGGGGGGAGGGGTGGGGGAGGTAGGGAGGTGAGGTGATATGTTTGACAGTTGATGCCAAGGTCTAGTGCTTATTTATTTATCTGTCCTTAAGAGTGACTTTAAGTTTTTCTCTTATAAAATGTCACTGAAATGACACGGGAGAATATAATTAACATTGCTGGAATTCTTATAAGATAGTGATTAATTTGAATATAAACATGCTATAGCTCGCATTAGACATACAAATTTTAGTTCTAATTTAAAAAAATTATTACAAAGAGCAAAATTTTTTATCTCCTGTTCAAAATACATGATGTTTATATTCAAATTATTTGCTGTCTTGCAAAGATTCCAGCAATAAAAATTATATTCTCCTAACTTTAGTCTGTGACATTATATAAAATAAAAACTTTTAGCCTAAAACACCAAAAACCCGGCTGGGAAGATGGGAAGGAGGGAGGGAGGGAGGGAGGGAAGTGACAGTGACATGTTCGACAGTTGAGTTTATGTTTTTTGCTTATAAAATGTCACAGAAGTGACCGGGGAGAATATAATTTACATTGCTGGACTTCTTATAAGATTGTGATTAATTTGAATATAAACATGCTATAGTTTGGACTCGACAAAAATTTTAGTAATCATTTAGTACATTATTTTGAGTACATGTACAGTACAGCTTTGCCCTAAGGACAGTGTAGCATGCCCAGAGAAACATTAGGCTTAAAATTTTAAAAATGATGCAGCAGATTGACTCGCGCAAAATAGGAAAGATTCGCTTTAAATTAAAAATATTGTCCTTAATTGTGGGTGTCGCTTTAAATCAATAATCTTATATTGAATTGCTTGAAATCGACATTTTGCTGTACTGTATTACTATGGGAAAACCAAGCTGAGCAGAATATATGGAATATTTACTAGTACAGTACTGTACATCTTCTGGACAAGTGGCTTTTGAAATTTCTTGTCTTCCCATTACTTTTTTTCATCTGCCCTGACAAATTATGGAGGAAATTTGCTCATTGTTTTTTATGGGAAAATTTAAGTAAACATCTTAAAATATTCAAATTTATTGGGTGTATCAACTCACAGGTCATCCTTTTACCCTCACCCTTCTCTATCCATTGGCAGTTGAAGAACCCGGCAAATTTTCCTTATTTCTTATTAATGTTGATGTTTTCACTTCAATTTGTAGTACAACTCTTCTTACACAACACTCAATTGGAGCTTTTATACAGATTTTCACATCAGGTCTTTGTGAGAATAAACAAATAGAAAAAGTGGGATAAGCTGTGATTTCACTGAGGCTGTAGAATGCACATAGGCTTTCTTGGTAGGTCAGGTCATTGTGGGAACAGAAAAGTCAGAGATTAGCTCAGTTGTGACATCATGATATGGCATAAGGTCAAGCACATCTCCCCCTCTCCTGTCATCTGGTTGGTTGAGGGACCTCACTGGTTAAACATGTATGGGGAGGTGGGGTTGGATAACACATGACAAATTTCAAGCTGAACAGTATTTTGCATGTCTTTTAAGTTACTTTTGCTAAATAATATTAAGTTATTTAATTTCCCAAACTTTATTACACTTTCCAAATCGCATAATGTGAAATATACTGTATACTATCATTAAGCAGCTGGCAACAAGTACTGTACAGTATATTATAGGTAGGAGCGGGTGCTAGACTCAGGTCCTGTACTGTACAATATTCCATTTTTATGTCCATCACCTTACAGTACTACTGTAATGTAGATTACACAAGTTATAGACACTACTGTAATACAGTAGTGTCTATAACTTGTGTAATCTACATTATTTTTCAGAAAATTTCCCAAAACAACTAATTTATTACTCATGATTGAGAATATGTGGTTATGACTATTCCAGGGGCATATGTTGTTTGTACTTAGTTCTGTTTTATATACGATCTCCTCTCTCCCACTTATGTGTGGAGTGGATCTAGAGGTAGAGGGGAAATAATTGTGGGGAACAATCCAAAACTTGTGAAGAAAGTTACCTGAAAGGGCTAGAACAACAAGATGAATTAGCCACACACACATACATATTATCATATTCGTTGTTATTATTATTATTATTATTACTGCTACAATATGTGGAAAATAAACTCCTAACTTGGTCTAATATCCTTCTGATGAGGATTGATATCTATTAAAGACTTGTCAGGGTTTATAGGTATGTTTAAGCAAGCTTACCTGTGTTGTTTATACTGAAGTGTTGTGTTATATTAATCCTCCAATTGTGACAACAAATTATTTCTTCTTTCAGACAGATCCCTTGGTCACAAGACATCAACAGCAGGTTATTATCAGTGGAACAGATGACCTCACAGATAATGGAAGACCAAGGGGCCAACACTACTGTCAATATTGTTCCAAGTCCTTCAACTACAGCAATGACCTAGAACGTCACATTAGAATTCACACTGGCGAGAAACCATTTGCTTGTCCATACTGTCCATATCGTGCTACTGTTAAAGGAAACTTGAGCCAACACATAAGAACTCACACTGGAGAAGAGCCTTTTGCATGTTCATTTTGCCCATACCGTGCAAAGACCAGCAGTAACCTGAAGACACACATTTTCCATAAACACGGAAAACATTGAATCTGTAAATCTTTAATAAAAATTTGGAATTTTGTATCAAAACCCTTTTATACTCTATTCATATGAAATGTAGCAAGTTTGCATTATATACAATACTTACATTCCTATAGTACATACAGTGGTCCCTCGGTTAACGAGCACAATCAGTTCCAGCAGGTTGCTCGTTTACCGAAACCATTGTTTCAATGGGTTTTGGGTAATTGGTTCCAGCTCACCGAAAATTGCCTAAATTCAACAAAAAAGGTAGAAAAGTACCCCCCCCCATCTTCCCAGCCAGTAAACAGACCATTTTGCATCCCTCAATTTTAGCTGTGTTGACTTATGAGTGTTTGTTTTAACATAATACTACAAAAAAATTTTTTTGTTTATTCTAAGAGATGGGCTGAGGTGCATCTAGGTAGACTCTCAGTCTTTTTAGTATTTTGTGATTCTCTCAAGTACCAAACTAAATTATTCCATTGAAACAACACTTCGATTTAGTGCGAATTCGGTTTAAAGGACCTCTCTTGGAACCTATCTCGTGTTATATTGTGTTATATTGACGTTCTACCTTACCTGTCAGTGAAAGGCTATGACCACATATACAGGTGTGATCCAAAAGTTCTCTGACTGGCTTCATAAAACCTTTCTCTTAGCAGATATTGAATTTGAATCTTCAGCAGGTACTCACCTTGGTTATAAGTTGTTTACTGCATCGATTTGGCGGGAATCTGTGGTGCCAACTTGCCATAGTGCAGCTTTGTGTGAGTGCGTGTACCGGCTCATCTGCTAAGTTGAGTCAGTCGTCACTCAACCCTCAACATGGAGGGAAGTATTGAGCAATGGTGCACCATCAGATTTTGCTTCAGACTAGGAAAAAATGTTGCAGAAATCCATGAAATGATCAAGAAAGCCTACAAAGATGAAGCAATGTTTTCAGATGGTACAAGAGCTTCAAACAGTGGTGCACCTCCTTTGAAAATTAGCATCGTTCTGGGCGGTCTTCCACTGAAAGAAATGATGAGGATGTCCATGAAAATGACCAGCTTGTCCATGAAGATCGAAGGGTGACAATCCGTGAGATTTCCGAGCAATTAGACCTCTCATATGGAAATGTTAACTGGATTCTGACTGACAATCGGCAATTGGCTCCTTCACCAGGACAACGCACCTGCACACACTGCCGTCTCCGTGAACGATTTTCTACAAATTGGTCCCAACAGGAGGCATATTAATATGATCAGCACCAATTGTGACAAGTTAACTTATCATAAGTCAAGTCACATACAACAGCCTGATGTGAGAAGGTTACTACAGTTATGCGAGTGATTCCACAGTGACGTAAAGTTAAAGCTATGTTCGGTGGATTTGGCATCTTGTGTACCGCCGACAAGGCCGTGGGATCATAAGACTCGTCTTGCCCGTGGTGCCCACCGTTTCTGTGTGGATGTCAGTTACACTAGAATAACCCGTTATGGTGCATCTTTCTTTCCTCACACAGCCAAACTGTGGAATGCTCTGCCTTCTTCTGTGTTTCCATACTCATACGATCTGTCTCACTTCAAAAAGCTGGTTTTCCGGCATCTTCAAGGTGTAAATTAATATAATCTTTTTCTTTTCTACTTTTAATTTATTTTTACTCTTATTTTTTCTTCCCCTAGGCCCCATTGTGGGTTGATGGCCTTTGCCCGGGTGGGCTATTCCCCGTAAAAAAAGAAAAGAAAAAAAGAAAAAAAGTAATATTCTTCATAACAGTGTTAACCCAAAGACCACACTAACTATGTACTTGTATTTTCTAATGATTACATTTTTTATTTCCTTATGTTAAAACCATTATTGTTTCATACAGTGTTTAGGTAATACAGTACTGGACACAGTGGCGGCTCGTGACTAATTCGTGGGGGGTGCTGCTTCAAAATTTTTGTAAGAATTATTTTAATATTGTGTAAGACACACACACACAGAAATACAGTATGTATATATATATATATATATATATATATATATATATATATATATATATATATATATATATATATATATATATATATATATATTGATAAAATCACACGGGAAAAAGGGAAACAGCGGAGCACCTTAGCTTTCGTCTTTATTCAAGACATCTTCAGAGGCAACTGGATTACATGGACAGAGAGAGGCTTAAATATGCAGGGTGACCTTATTAAACATGAGGTCAGGTCATAATGATGTCATCCACTAATCCCCACACCAACACACACGTAGAGGAGCTTAAGAGAAGGGGGCGACGTGACTAGTCAGGTCAGGTCAAAAATAAGGGACCCACTAAATAACTATCCTACATCTAGATCAAAGGTTTTCAAAGCATTTTTAACCTTGAGCCACTGACAAATAAATTTATGTAACATATTATCAGTTTTTAACTGACCATCACTAATGTTTATTGATTTTAATTCCTTAATCAAACTAGCTTCAACCAGAAGTCTTTCTGTGACACAAGATGATTTAAATACTTCTAAGCTTTTTTTCCCAAGCAATGGGGTGATTATTATTCCTAACATGAACGAACAGGGCACTGCTTTCAGATGCTGTTCTGATATTATACTTATGTTGTTTGATTCTGAGCTGCAGTGTTTTTCCTGTCTGTCCTACATAATTACAATTACATTTGCTACAAGGAATACAATATATATATATATATATATATATATATATATATATATATATATATATATATATATATATATATATATATATATATATATATATATATATATATATATATATTAATAAAACAAACAGACAAACACACACACTTTGGTCTGACAAACATTTATATAGAACAAAATGTTTTTGTAGCGTTGCGATATATAATATATCCCAATTTCAGCAAATTTGAAGTAAAAATAAGGGAGCTGTTGCAGTTAGAAGAACTGTTTGGGAGGCGCTATTACAGTTAGCCGCTGGAGGCGCTGCGGACAACCAGGGGACGCTGTTCAGTTGGCACTATATCAGAAAATCTTTACTAACCCAAGTAGATTATGTGGCCAAAGTTTCATAATTCTTTACAAATGTGAACAATCATGCCTATTTTATGTATCTTTCCGCCCCTGATAACGAGGCGAAAATGAGCAATATTCTGAACAGATATTTTTCTTAAGTTTTCTCAACCAAAATCTTAAAACATGATACCCAAGGCACCGACTATCTACAGAGATAGTGAAGAAAATGGATTAATCGAGTTAGTAGTAATTAGTTACGACGTTAGCAAACAAATAGATAAACTAAAACCTATTAAGTCGCTCGGTCCTGATGAGATATTTGCTAGAGCTAGAGTATTAAAGGAATGTAAGGAACAACTTACCAGTAGTATGCCCTTAGTAAACGTATTTAACATGTCATTAAAAACGTGTATAGTAACAGAATTTAACTATTGTCCAATCAGTTTAACCTAAATTATAGTCAAACTGCTGGAAGCAATAGTTTCAACCTCATTTCGAAATCACAAGTTGGCGTTCATATCTGACAGATATATTCCCATTCTTTTCAATTGTATTCGAATCAGTTGATGCCGAACACACTTGTGATGTGGTTCACCTTATATTTTGTAAAGCCTTCGACAGAGTCTCCCCATGAGAGACTGAAACGTAAAGTAAGGGCTTGGAGAAGGTCGTGGCCCCAAGTGCTCCCGTTAGTGACCAAGGAAAATGGCCGCCTTGGATCGTTGTGTCTTGGGGAAGAGGAGCATGGTGTGAGGAAAGACGACCTACTGGCCACTCTGTTAAGGCAGCTGGGGCAGTTGAGGAGTGAGCTTGACACTCTAAAGGGGGAAAATAAAGCCCTCAGGACTGAACTCCTTCAGGTAGGTGTCCTGCCAAGCAGGACACCTGCGAAGGAGGAGCAGGAGTGGAGAGTGGTTATCTCCAAGGGGACTAGGGTCAGATTCAGGAAAGCTGACCAGGGTGTGGAGTGTAGTAACCCATACCAGGTGCAGGAGGAAGCTGGCGAGGAAGAGAAGAGGCAGGACGGTATGGAGCAAGGAGAGGAAAGGGCAGTTGTACAAAAACCTGCCCACAGGTAAGGTCGTGGTAGTTGGGGACACCCAGGTGAGGTTTTTAGATAGGACATTTTGTGTAAGAGATAGGAAACGTAAGACTAGGGTGTGTTTTCCTGGGGCTGGGATAGTGCATGTAGCTGAGAGGATAGATAGGGATTTATCAGGGGAGGGTACCAATCCAGTAGTGTGTCTTAGTGTGGGAGGAAACGACATAGGAAAGGTTAGGAGTGAGGAACTTTTCAAGAGGTATAGGGAGGCGCTGGGGAAGATTAGAGATAGGGGAGGGATCCCGATAGTATGTGGTGTCTTGCCTAGAATAGGGGTTGGTCGTGAATGGCTATAAATTGCCAACTGGAAAAACATTGTGCAAACAATGGTTGGGCATTCATTGATAACTGGCAACGATTCTATGGCAACGACTACCTGTACAGTCGTGACGGAGTACACTTGTCTCGTGCGGGGGTAAAGACGTTGTCTGCATCCTTGGAGTGTGAAATTGTTACTCCAAAGGGGGGGTTTCGCCAGTAGAGAGAGGTCTGGGTAAGTGGGAGTCAAAAAACAAGCTGGTCCTGGGAAGTAAAATTGGTTACTCAGGATAAGGGGTAAAACAGGACCAGGGAAGGGTAGGTTTAAATGTATACTATACAAACAGTAGGAGCGTTCGAAATAAAATAGACTTGCTGAGAGCGGTTGTATGTACCGAGAATGTAGACGTCATAGCAATCACCGAAACTTGGATGAATCTGGCGAGCAAAATTTTTTTTATCAGAGTACCACATAGAAGGGTACAACCTTTTTCACAAGGATAGGGAAGGTAGGAAGGGGGGAGGGGTCGCGCTCTTTGTCAAGTATACATTAAAATGTATTAATAATTCAATAAAGGGTGAAATAGGAACCGAGTCTGTATGGGTAGAAATCACGGAAGGAAGAGAAAACTAATTATGGGGGTGATTTACAGGCCTCCAAGTCTTGGGAAGGAAGCCGCTCAGCCCATATGGCAGGAAATGAGTAGGGCAGCAAA